GTCGAACCACCTACGCCCGAAGGACTGATGGGATCAGAAGGAGGAGGAGGAGGAGGAGGAGGAGGAGGAGGAGGAGGAGGAGGAGGAGGAGGAGGAGGAGGAGGAGGAGGAGGAGGAGGAGGAGGAGGAGGAGGAGGAGGAGGAGGAGGGAGGAGGAGGAGGAGGAGGAGGAGGAGGAGAGGAGGAGGAGGAGGAGGAGGAGGAGGAGGAGGAGGAGGAGGAGGAGGAGGAGGAGGAGGAGGGAGGAGGGAGGAGGAGGAGGAGGAGGAGGAGGAGGAGGCGGAGGCGGAGGCGGAGGCGGAGGCGGAGGCGGGGAGGCGGAGGCGGAGGCGGAGGAGGAGGAGGAGGAGGAGGAGGAGGAGGAGGAGGAGGAGGAGGAGAAGAGGAGGAGGAGAGAAGAGAGGTGGAGGAGGTGGAGGAGGAGGAGGAGGCGGAGGCGGAGGCGGAGGCGGAATCGGAGGAGGAGGAGGAGGAGGCGGAGGCGGAGGCGGAGGCGGAGGCGGAGGCGGAGGCGGAGAAGGAGGAGGAGGAGGAGGAGGAGGAGGAGGAGGAGGAGGAGGAGGAGGAGTGGCAGCATCAGGAGGAGGACGAAAAACATACGGATGCGAGAGAGGACGCGTGCTAATGTAACCCTTGGGGGCTAGGTGGGGGTCGCATATGGGCCTGTTGGGTCCTCCTTGGAGTTTCTTCGGTGCCCGTCGGATGCTTTTCGAAGGCTACTGAATGACAGCTTGGGATCCTCTTGGGCTTTTCTTAGGTGCTGCTCTGGGGCCGCATGGGGCCCTGTTGGGGCCGTTTCGGAGTCCCCCCCCACAACGACGGTTTTTGAAATCCGAAGTCCCCATCGAAGGGAGATCATCTCTTAGCGGGATGCGCGAGGCCGAGCGTAGTGTGCCTTTGCTCATGCATTTCACCATGTCCCATCTCATGGTCATCTCGTCATCTACCTTCGACTCCTGACACAATGACGGCCTGCAGGGAGTCCGCCGAATGTGGTTACTATTTGATTTCGCCGGCGCATACGCCATCACTAGTGCTATTATGGTTATGCCCGTCGCGAGCGAGGAAGAGGAAAGGGACGACGAGGCGACGAGGAAACAGCAGAAGTAGAGAGGTAGCCTCTCGATGGCTTCCTGGGGCACCGTTGGGACCAGATTGGATCGTGGGCGAAACGCCTCCTTGGAACATTTTACTTTGTTATTCGATCCTTTCAGAAGCCTCCAGGCAGAAGTCTAACCTCTTGGGGCATCTCTTTGGGTCTCCGCGGGCCTGTTAGGGAGTTTCTGGGGCGGCCAGCTGGCGACGTCGAGGCTCATGTTTTGTTTAAGACTGTTGAGTCCCATGGAGCCTTGTGGCACTCCCCAGGGCAGTCGGGAGACGGAGAGGGTGAAATAATCATTGCGTTCTCCCAGGTTTGCGGCCGGCATTTACAGCTATGTATATTTTTGCACTTTGACGCCGAAGGGCACCCGAAGGAATATTACGCTCATACGCTACTTGGAGGTCTAAGTTTTCAGGGCGAGAACCTGGTGAAGAGCTCGGTCTGCAGTCTATGCCATTGGGCGTCCCTGTTCGAACCTGCGCTGTTCTGCTTCCTGGCCCGACAGCGCCAGTACCGGCCCGGCATCCAATGGGAGATTCATGCCCTCATGAGCGGACTGGTCGCTAGTGTCTTCGAACGCTTTGGCGCCACTACGCCTTCCGCAGTTCTCCTGGCGTGGCCGTCGGACCAGGCCCATTGCCCCGGCAGCGCGGCTTCGGCTCGCAGCCTAAACGCATTGATTAAGACGCGTTCCAAGCCAGTGGCCGACGTCGTCCCGGTCGCAACGACCGGCCATAAGGCTGAGGTCCCTTTGCGACCGCCCTGCGATGGACGGAGCGAGTGGGACGTCCCCTTAGATTCGCAGACGACGGGTAGTATGTGGGATGTTGCATCCGCCTCCTCCCCCCACGTGGCCGAGACGTGCGGCCTCCAGATAGAAGACGTCGCTGCCAAATTGAAGACCGTGCGCCTGCCACAGCAGACAGACGCTTGGTCGTGCGGGCCCAGAGTGGCGTGGATGGTACGTCCGTGCTTGTCAGCCCCGAGTGGCCACACCTTGTCGGAGGACCACTTTCCCATTCCATTTTCGGAAAAAAAGGCTCCCTGGAGTAGCCGGGCAGGCTCACCAGCGACGTCGTGCGTGCCACAGTGTCGTTTTGGTCGCCACGCGCTGGTCACGCCGCCGCCACAACGCCCCAGTTCGCAACGCGCGGAAGCGCGAGTGGCCTTCCGTGGATGGCGACCAATGCGCCTTGCTAGATTCGGCCCTTGGTTGTTTCAGCGGCCTGGATGTGTCGACGCCCATGGGCATGGTCGTGGCGCAGCTCGCGGTTCAGGGAGCAGCGGGGGCGGCAAGGGTTGCTGCGGACGGCGGCGAGGTCACGGCCACAGTGTTGGACCCAATTATCGGGGGTGGACAGAACCCCCAACAGTGACACGTCGATTAGTGAATTGTCCGTTTTCGGTTTTCGAGAAGGCGCCGTGGCCGTTATTTTACAGGCTTGCGCCCGCCAGGTTTGGGCCTCAGGTCGTTTTCACTAAACCACGTTTTACTAAAGGGGGGTCTGTCCATCCCCGAAATTAGGAAACAAAAGGCCGCTGTGCCTGGATGAGACGAGTCCGCCTACAGGGAGTAGCAGCGACTGGAGCACATCCGGTGGCATGGCAAGTCCCTGCCCCGGCACGCACGCTGCGCCGCCGATCGGTCGAAGGAGCCCGAAAACGCGCTGCCGGCGCCGCTGGAACAGGAAGGGGCGGGCGCCCGCGGGCCCAGGGCTGCTTTTTGCACAGGGGCGCAAAGGACTGCGCGTGATAACGAGATGCGCGGCCTCAAAAGGTCAAGGACCGTGGCGGCAGCGCTCCCAGCGCGTGCGCTTCCGACGCCCGCTCGCTCGCGCCAGCGTTTTCACGCCGACGCTCCCTTGTCTCCACCCAGCACCTGCGCCGATGATGACCCAGCGGGTTCCTCTGTTGAGACGGCAGGGGCGGCGGCGGCGGCGAACGCCCCGCCGCTGGGCCTCGCAGATGGCCAGAGCGCGGGCTATCCGCGAGGTGGAATTGTGACCGCGGCAGACCGTTGTGCCGGACGGGGTTTCAGCCCGTCCGCGGAAGCCACAGCCGCTGGCGCTGCGGCGCGCGCGCAGGTGGAGGTTGTGGGCGGCAGGGCGCGGCGAGCGCACCGCCCAGGAAGTTCGCGCAGACGTGGGTCCTGGAGATGCCTTTCAAAGCTCGCTAGGCTGCGCGGCTCGCGCAGTTCATGACCATATATGTAGCGCGCGCGGGGGCGTGGGGCAGGTATTGGGTGATCGCAGAGTCCTGGAAGAACTGTTGTGTCTCCTTGCGGAAACAACGTTCCCACCTGCCTCGCGGCTCTACCCGACGGCGATCTGGCGCGCCCGCTGGGAAGCGTTGGGTCGACCTCGCCCGCCCGCTTGAAGTGGAAATATGTTCAGTGCTCTCCGCGCGTGAGTCAGGCCCCCAGCCTGTGCGACCCGCCCGCCTGTTCCTCCTAGTGGCCCGCCCATGAAGTCCGACGCGTGCCCTGGTGCCGCGCAATCGCGGTGGCCGGCGGTTCTGGTGTTCTGGTCGATGGGGTGGGCCTGGCCGACGAGGAGAGCAGCGACGGCCTTGCGCCGGAGGTGGCGCGCGAAGATCCGCCGGCACCCTCGACCTACGCTTGTCGTAGATATTTCGAGGCCTTCTTTGCTCGGTGCGGGCAAGGCGAATCTGCAGACGAGGCGAAGCTGGTGACGTTTTGGGGGGCCGCCTCCCCTGGAGGCGGTCGCCGCGCGGCCCAGCAGTTCCGCCTGCAGGCGGGCGTGCGAGCGCAATGGTCTGCCGCCTGATGGACATTCGCTTCGCGGCGCCGCCCAGGGCGAGGCGGCGTACATGTTCTTCGGACGTGACCGGCAGGTGGCACCGTAGGCCTTCGAGGGCACGGGCAGCGCGCGGCAGTTGCCCACGCGCAGGTGCTGCGCGTTCTTCCCGGGGGCAAGCGCCGCAAGCAAGGGCGCGCTGATCGGAATCCTCCAGGCGCTGGGCCAGGATATGTTCGAAGGGGGCCCGAGCCTGAAGTCTTCGCCCTGCTTCGAGTCCGTAGTGGCGGGGCGCCCTTCCTGCAGTGGGCTGCTAGCGCCCCCCCCCAGGGGGAAGGCGGCGACTGGGGCGTGCTGCTTATTGTGGTACAATTCGGAGATCAAACGGCGCATAGACTCTCCAGACTGGGCCTTCCGAGAGGGGCGCTTCACTCAGCTCGCTGGGGGCGCAGAGATCGGCAAACGCACGGAGAATGAAGACGCGTGCGTTCGGCAGAACCCATGGTTCACAATCGGTGTTCAGCGGGAGTTCTGGCAGAAAAGGTTCGGCGCCTCAGACATCGGTCGCCCGCGGGCTTCCACGGTGCGCCTAGATGTAAAGGAGAGCTTGAACATCGGACTCAAAACGATGTTTTTTTCCACCGGATTAGCCCTTCAGCGTGATCGCGCGGCCCCTCGGCGACATTGCCGCAGCGCGACAGGAGGGCGCGCCGTTCATCGGGGGCGCCAAGTGCGCCCCGGAGTCTTTTGCAGCGCGCGCGGCGATGCATGACGCGGCCAGTGACATGATGCGGCGCATTCACTGCGGGGATGCGCTGGCGGCCACCATCGGGAAATTCGTAGGCGAGGGCTTCGGAAGCATTGCAGGATGCAACGTGGGCCCCCGCAATGCCGAGTGGGCGCGGGCTGTCTTTGAGACAGGGCTGGACGCCGCCGTTCCCCAGGACTGCGTGGTTCGTTTCGGGGGCGCTACCGCGGCCTCGAGACAGCTCTCGCGGCGCATCGTCGCGCAATGCTTCGCCGAGTCCGCGATCGCTGCCAGTGCCGCCAAGGGCTGCGGCCATGCTGTCGGAGGCGCGGATGGTGCGTCACACGTCCAGTTCAGGCCCGTGGTCAACGCGGCCCGGCGGTTCTTGGATTCTGTGGCGGGGCGCGAGGATTGGCGACGCTTCGTTGATGAGGCCGGGCTGCCATGTCGCGCAGGCAACGGCAAAGTTAACCGCCCGCGGAACTCGTGCTTCCAGCGAGGCCCAGAGGCCGAGGTTCTCGCCCACGGCGGCAAGGACGTGCGCGCGGTGTCTGCGAGAGCAGAGCAGTGGCAGGCCATGTTGGGTTGCTTGCGCGCGCGGGGCCTCGGCGCGGAACCGAGAGGAACGGACTGTCATCCATTTGCTTTGTGGAGACGCTCGTGGCGCCGAGTGCCGCGAGGCTGTTGGGGCATGGAAGCTGCGCGACGCGGCCGCGCGGTGGCTCCCTGACGGAACCGGCTCTGACGACCAGTCAGCGCACGACGTGGTCGTCGAGCTGGCTGCGGAGCGCTCCTCCGTCGTGGTGGCCTGGGCGATGCTGGCGGTTGCGTTCTGTTGCGTTGACGCCTGTGCCTTCGGCTTCCACACGTAATCCTGGTACGCGTGGCTAGTAGACCCAGCCTGCTGCATCTTGCGCTGCCCGCTCTCTTGCGAGCCCGCAGATGCCCGTTCTTTCGCTTCCCCGCTCTCCCGTTTGTTCCCCCCCCATTCCTCCACCTTCCCCTCCCCTGGTTCCTCTCTGTACACACTCCTCCTCACCCTCATCCTTCGCTTCTGCGCTGTCAATTCTGCCTCCTTCGAGTCGCGTTGGGGCCACCTGCGTGACACTCGCCGTGAGGACCGAGACGGCCAGACCGCAACAACATTTTATGACATGTCCCATAATTAATGGTGCGCGTGAAGCATCAATTTTTTGAGGGGATTGGCCACTCCCCAACCATCTTCGTGGCAGAGAGGAGAGTAGCATTCATATGGGATAATTGAAGATAACAAAAAACGTCGAAGAGGAAACTGACGAAACGAAAGAGGAGACTTTCAGAGCCCTCTTGGGGTCCCCTAGGGTTTCATGGGGGTATCCTGAAAATATTTGATATGCCTCGAGGAGGCCTCGGCGGGGCCTCTCCATATCGGAGGTTGGGGGGTGAGTCCGACGTGAAACCAATACCCCCCCGACCAGGAAATCGATTTCGGTTTCGGGTTCGTGTCGTGTGTGCCGTGCGTGCGTGTGGGCGAGGCGAAGCTGCGTGGGCGGGCGAAAGGAAATCCTCCTGTGGCTTGTCCGCGGCCGGATCTAATGTTTCTCCTCCGGCGGCCGGTGGCCCGCGGTGTCCCGCTGGTGTCCCGCTGGTGTCCCGAAATTATCCTTTGGCTGGGCCGCGGCCGGACCAAATGTTTCTCCTCCGGCGGCCGGTGGCCCGCGGTATCCCGCGGGTGCCCCGCTGGTGTCCAGATGTGTCCGCCGTGGCTAGGGCGAAATCAAGACAAAGGATTTTGCCCATCCGCCCGTCCAGGGGTGGCTCGCGGTGTCCCGTGGTGTCCCGTGGTCACCCGTTGAATTAGATCGATAGTGAGATCGATGCTGAAATCGATGTGGTGCCCCGAGGTGTCCCGTGGTGTCCCAAAAAGTGAGATCGCTATTGAGATCGATAGTGAGATCGACAGCTGTCCCGTGGTGTCCCGAGGTGTCCCGTGGTGTCCCGTGGTGTCCCATGTTGTCCCGTTGAGTGAGATCGATAGTGAGACCGATAGTGAGACCGATAGTGAGATCGGGAGAAGTCCCGCGGTGTCCCGTGGTGGCGCGTGGTGTCCCGTGGTGTCCAGTTGAGTGAGATCGATTGTGAGATCGATCGTGAGATCGACAAGTGTCCCGTGGTGTCCCGTGATGTCCCGTTGAGTGAGATCGATAGTGAGATCGATTGAATCAGATGTTGGTTCCCCCCCTCTCCCCCCCCAAAACCTTCTCATCACCCGAAGGGTGGACGTATAGGTACTCTTTGTTCAATTATATCGAAGACGCCTGCGGCGAATCACCACCGCCTTCCAGAGACATCGGACCATGTTTTTACGTCGTATCGGCGTTCGGCCAATGCCCATTTTTTATGTGTTTTCTTCCATTGTATCGAAGACGCCTGCGGCGAATCACCACCGCCTTCCAGAGACATCGGACCATGTGTTTACGTCGCGTCGGCCTTCGGCCTTCGGCTATTCCATTTAATATTTCCTCCAATGTATCGGAGACGCCTGCGGCGAATCATCACCGCCTTCCAGAGACACCGGACCATGTGTTTGCTTCGTATCGGCCTTTGGCAAATGTCATATACTCTTCTTCCATTGTATCAGAGACGCCCGAGGGGAATCACCACCGCCTTCTGGCCTTCAGAGACATCGGATCATGTTTTTACGTCGTATCGGTCTTCGGCCAATGCCCATTTTCAATATAGTAGATTCTTCCTTCCATTGCATCGAAGACGCCTGCGGCGGGCGAATCACCACCGCTTGCGGAAAGTGCTGGTAGGGCGGGCTGAGGCGAGAGCTATATTTGTAAAGGAAGCGCCCTCAATCTGTGAAACTCTTTGCAAATGTTTAAGACGAATGTGCGCGGCGCCAATGCAAGAGCCACATTCTGAAAACGACTCGCCCTCAATTCGTGCAACTCTAGCAACATGTGCGCGGCGCTAAGGCGAGAACCACATGTTGAAAACGAACCGCCCTCCATTTGCGAAACTATTGCCAAGTTTAAAGCTCCAGAATCATAAATGGTGAGGAAGTCTCGCGAAACGCCCAGCCCGCCCTAAAACTGGCAGGGGTTGGACAGGTAGAAGTTATTTATATAAGGAGAAGAAATGGAGGAGGAGATGGAGGAGGAGGAGGATGAGGAGGAACAACTTTCCGTCCAGAGTTGCACAGGGCGACACCAGCTGCCAGTCTCCCCTGTACAGGGAGATCCTATGCGAAGAACGCCTTTGGGCTCCACTCTTCTTCCGTCCAGACCCAGTTGCCTAGGCCTTTGCCCGCGGTCTCTTGCTGCTCAGTGCGCTCTGATCTCCTGGAAGCCGGGGAGGACTGAGGCCGTAGCAGCTGGTCGGGGTCGGGGCTTGAAGCGGACACGCTTGGAGCAGACACGGATGGTTTGACCAAGGTGGCCAAGATCCAGGTCACGATTCCTCCTTTGGGCCCCGAGAGCTCCACAGGCCAGAACCCAGGTCACGATTCTTCCTTTGGGTTCCGGGTGCTCTGCCGGGGAGAACCCAGGTCACGATTCTTCTCTGGGCCGGGCCACGGGATCAGCGGAACAGCGGAACACCCTCCCGCGCGCGGCCCTGGCAGAGCCCGGAGGCCCGACGCGCAAGGCCAGAACAAAAGCCCCACAGGCCAAATGATTCCGCCTTTGGGCCCCTGGAGCTCAAACCCGAGTCACGATTCTTCCACTGCCCCGCGGAAGCTCCACAGGCGAAAAACCCAGTTCACGATTTTTTTAGTGACCCGGGCCACGGGAGCAGCGGAGCAGCGGAGCAACCTCCCCGCGCGCGCCCTTGGCAGGGCCTGGGACTCTAACGCGCAAGGCCCCCCCAAAAACCCACAGGCCAAAACCCAGGCCACGATTCCTCCTTTGAGCCCCGAGAGCTCCACAGGCTGAAACCCAGGTCACGATTCTGCCTTTGCGCCCTGGGAGCTCCACAGGCCAAAAACCCAGACGCGCAATGTCAAAACCTTGACGCGCAAGGCCAAAACCCGACCGCGCAAGGCCAAACAGAGAAGCTCCACAGGCCAAATAAATCGTTTTGGCCTGTGGAGCTTCTTTTCGGCCTTGCGCGTTGCAGCCGTCTTGGTGGCCTGTTGGAGGCCTCTTGGGCTGTCTTAGGGGTCGCTTGGGCAGGCTGGCGACCTTGGAGTCCGTCGTGGGTGCTTCTCTTGGCCGTCTTGGGGCCGTCTTCGGGCCAGAAAGGATCGTCTTGAGGGTCTTTTGGGCCCTCTCGGAGCCTTCTTGGGTCTCCTTGGCCCGTCTTGACGGCCTCTTGGGCCATTTTGAGGGTCTCTTGAGCAGTCTTTGGGCCTCTTGGGGGCCTCTTGGGCCATCTTGGGACCATCTTGGAGGTCTTTTGGAGGCCTGTTGGGCTGAAAAAAACCCGACACGGCGAGAACGCGTAATTGGTCCATCAATATACAGCACAGTGGGTTTGACATCCCAGGGCCTTCCTGCAGGTCCTCTTGGAATCCTCTTGAGCCGTAGACTGAGACTCGTGGGCCGTCTTCAGGCTATCTTGGGCCGCATTGGAGGCAGCTTGCGCCATCTTGGCGGCCTTGGTGGCCTGCCTGGGCGGTGCTTGAAGTCATCTAGGGCATCTTGTATGTACGCAGGGCCGCAGAAAGGCGTCTGGCTGTCCAGGGAGCCTGGGGCCAGGGGGATGATGCAAATGCATCAAATCCGTGACCAGCATGCGGTGGCGGGTCTCGTCGAAGATTACAAAAACCCTACCAGACATCACTGTGCATTGTACCACGCCTCACCGTGGCAGGGAGCACGGTCGCGGATTCGGCACCTGGCGGACTACGTGTTGATCATGACAGGTGCAGTTAACGATGATCTCGGGATTTCTACGCATTTCGCTCGCATTGGGAATTCTGTTTACCCAGATCATTGTGGCGATGAGGACCCTGGCTGCAGCAAGTACACATTCATCAATGGCCAACACCATCGGCCATCGCCAATGATGAAGAAGTCTTTGGTGTACAACCTGTACATGCACGGAAATGAAGATGTCCCATCGGCGAAGGCGGATCCGAATCTCTTCGAGCTTGCATGGGCGTCGGAAAATGATTATCGAGGTGAGGGCATGCGGTTTTTCAAGGTACTCAATGTTTCGGAGGAAAGCAGGGAATGGGTTGCCAACCCTGAAAATAAGATATGCGACGCTCCTGGTAGCTGGTATTGTGGCGGCCAATATCCACCAGCGATACAAAGCTTCATTGCTAAGAGGAGGAGCTTTGCTCAGGTGGAGGATTTCAACAAGAAAGGGGAAAAGAGCGCTTACACGAAGATGATCGAGAAGGAGAAGTATGGGAAGGAGCTGTGAGCAGGGTCTTCCGCGTGCACCATGCCGAGTGGTATGTGCAAGAGAGCTGGCATTGCCATTTAGCAGTTTTGTGTGGCACACGCGAGGCCTAATTTTCCAACGCTCTATTGGCCTGAACACAATTCGACATGAAAACGCTGAAGACATGTTCAACTAGACAAGGTAGCTGCGCTGACCTTATAATATGATGAGCGTGCCATTACATGAGCAAAAGCAGTAGCAGCATGACTGGTGCATCAGCTCGCAAGTTCGGATGGGCGCAGTTCGACGTTGGGGCCGATCGACGCGTGCAACATCTGCAGATCGCGCCTACCACGTCCGACCGCATGCCCCGTTCTCGGGCAAGCCTGCCAGGGGGGTTCTCTCCCACTGTGTGAGCGGTCCTCGCGGTGGTTCCGCGGAGAGGTGTCCCCGAGATTCGGATCAGCCGGCGTTTGACGCTGGGAGGGGGTGAGGGGGAAAGAGGGAAGAGGAGAGGAGGGGGGGAGAAGGAGGAGAGGAGGGGGGGAGGAGGATCAGGCGAAGGAGTTGGAGGAGGAGAAGGACTATGACGCTGCTGCTCATGATGATAGTTATGATGATGCTGCTGATGATGATGATGATGATGATGATGATGATGATGATGATCAGGAGGATTATGGTTATGATGATGGTGATGATGCTGATGATGATGGTGATGATGATGGTTGTAGTGGTTATGGTGCCCGTGATGATGGTTACGAGGCTGCTGCTGCTGATGATGATGGTGATGCTGATGCTGATGATGATGCTTATGACGATTATGAAACTGAGGATGATGGTGATAATGCTGATGATGATGCTGATGATGATGGTGATGATGCTTCTGATGATGATGAGAAGGAGAAGGAGTACGATGAGGAGGAGGGTGAGGAGGAGGAGGAGGAAGAGATGGAGGAGGAGGAGGAGGAGGAGGAGGAGGAGGGACAACCAGCCCCCTTCTTCGCTGGGCCAACCGCGGGGGGGCGAAGATGCCAGACTGGAACCCTGGCCTCGAAGAGGAGGCTCGAAGAGGAGTCCTGGGATCTCCTGGACGGTTTCGTAGGGGCCTCTTGGAGACCTGTTTGGGGCCTTCCAAGGGGCTCTTGGCGACCCTTTCGGGGGCTTCCTTAGAGCCTCCCCTCATCGTCGAAGGCGCCTACAATGAGTCAGCGACGTACCCTGGCTTTGGGAAGCGTCTGTATCGTGAAGTACAAAGCGGAAGTGTGGCCACGCTTGTGGAATCTGTGCTCCCCCAGCTGTTGGTGAGATCACTGGGGGAGCACCGTGAAAGGGGCCCCTGGGTCGTCCTGGATTTGTCTCTGGGGATCTTTTCGTGCTTCTTGGGAACCATCTTGGGCCTTGGTCCTCTCTTTAGGCTGTCCAGGGGCGCTACTAGGCCGTCTGGTGCGTTCAGATGCCATCGCCTCTCTGGGCGGTCTTGAACCTCTTTTGATGTTTTTCAGGGCCATCTTGGGGCTATCTTAGGTCGTCCTGGGATTCGCTTGAGCCGTCCTGGGACCAGCTTGGAGTTCTTTTGAGCTGCCTTCGGCTGTCTTGAGAACCTTCTGGGCCCTCTTAAATGCTCTGCAGACCCAGACGGTGAGAAACTCGAAAGGAGGTTCGGGCAAATGCGAGAGATAGCGAGCGTTGGTCCGCGACAGTTTGTGCTCAAACGGCGGGCCGTCAATATATGACTGCGCCTCATCGCGAGGTACAATACTTGCCATCGAGACTGGAAACACTTTCGCTTCTTATGCCCCGACGTGGTGGAACATCAGGGCGCAGTCGGTCTGCGCGGAGGATTGTACAGATTTGCGCACAGCCGCAAGGACACTTGCAGTGTTACCTCCGCTTACGCGGAAGCTTCTCTAGAAAAGAACACTCCTGAAGTCCACCCTCTTACTCCAATTGGAAGGTTTCTCGAAGACACGATACGTGGCAACATGCGATCCGATATTGTGCCGCCTCCACCCCCTCGCAGGCTAACGACATCGCATCACAACCCGCAGCCACAAACATCCGACCACGACTTAAGGGGCCATTGGATTGGTATTAATATATTTGGCGTCCTCCGGGTCGCTATCGGATGTGCTGTTGGGCACATCTGGCGCGGCGGAGACGACGCACGTACTTCCGCCCCCCGCTGGGACCTTGCCGGCAACGTGCCTTTCCGCGAAGTCGCTCGCGAGGTACGCGCCTGGTTCAACGTAGCAACAGGCAACATGGCCCCCGCTCATCAGGCCGCGGCATTGCAGCGTGGCCTGGGAAAGGCTCGCAAAGACCATAGCCATGAGAGTACCGTCCGCAATCATTAATTGTGGCGTAAATATCGGTGGTCGCTTCACTGACAGCGTCACCTACATCATGCTCCTCCTCAGCACGAAGTTTGTAATCATCTAGAGGGGGGGCGCCATTTTGATTCGGGAACAGCTCTCATCGACTTTCGCGTCCATGCGGGACAGCGGATCGACCAGACGTTAGCACGCTTCGAGATAGCGCGCTTTGAGGCCGAGACTGCAGGCTTCAATATTCCCAGCTGCCAGATCCGAGCTCCTAGCAGTTATTTGGTTCGAGCCTTGGGTGTTGGTACATCGCGTGCACAGCAACTACTACAACCACTAAACCACCGGGGCCCAACAACAGTTTGATTCTCTACTGGAGCGCATGAGGTCTTATGCTCACACTGCTGAACGACACCCTGGCAACATTGGCGGTGTAGTTAGCCACGGTCATCGCGCCGAAAACTTTCACCCCGACACTACTGCAGGGCACCTTGCTAGCAACGACTTGAACGACGATCCACAGCCAACTGAGGCCACCACTCTATTAAGCCAATTGGGTGGCCAGCCTACTGGGTCGCAAGACTCCTGGGCTCGCTATCTGGGGCCGCCGTCAACGGTGGCCCCTGCCCAAGCCACTGCCCTTGGAGGTTCGGCGGGGCGACCCGCCGAGTCTGAGTTTGACTTCGGTGCTGTCGCCGACGCCGCATCAGATGAGGGGGCTGGTGCCTTGGACTACTCCGACACGCCAGTGTACCTCGCTGGAGAGCAGCAGGCGCAGTGGCTACTCGTAGGATACAGCAACGCAAGCGCCGATGGAGACGTTTTATGAAGAAACCAGTTCGCAAGGCACGACGTGCGGTCTGACGGGCGTTTAGGTCGCAGGGAGAGGGTAGAGGTTAAGGGTAAAGGCGAACGACGACGATTACATGGTAGAGGTATCTTGGCATCGGACCACGGAATGGCGGGGCCACCTACGGACCCTGACGCGACGATGCCGGCTGCGGAGGAGGAGTTCCGACGCGCGCCCCGACCGCAGGTCATTGGTAACCCTGCGCACGGAGAACCTTACGATGGCGATCCTTTGCGGGGTAGCCCGCGCGATCATGGCGACCTCTCCGAGCGCGCCCAATATGAGCTCGGGCGCGACGAAGGCCCCCGCTTCGAGTTCGCAGTGCGCGACCGATCCACGAGCCGCCCAGCTTGGGG